TCATATCTACATAATTTTTATAGCTGACTTTTTTCTTACGATCTACTAATCGCTAGAGGAACAATAGTTGGATGTGATGAAGATGGATTCGCAGAATTAATTAGATGAATTTTAACTTTAAGAATATGTTTGCGCTTTTGAAAAAGACTCAATCTACGAGTCGAAACGTTAAGCAGGTTTTTGAATATTGTTATTTTTTAATGTACATCTTCGAATTTTAAACAAATCTTTTTATATTGTTAATTTTTAATGTACATCTTCGAAGGAATTTTTTCTTTTGAAATTAATTTATTATATATATGCGTTTTTCTTTCTTTAATTGTTGTTTTAAATTATTTCTTTTGACTCTTACAACGTCCTTTTAACTTTTTTCGTTTATGTTTATAATAAGAGTCCTTTATCAATTTTATATTATTATTTTTAATAATAATTAAAAATAAAATAAGTCTAAAATAAGTCTGAAATTAATCTAAAAATATTGTCTAAAAGACGTCTTAAAGACGTCTAAAAGATATCTGTAAGACGTTTTTAAGACGTCTAAAGGATAATGTCTGTACGATTTAACGTATCTGAAATTGATCATAAATCAATGTCCATAAGACGTCTTAAAGATAATATCTTTAAGACGTCATAAATCGACGCATAAGACATCTTTAAGACGTCATATAGACGTCATTCTGATACTTCCAAAAAATTAAGCGTTTTCGATTAACCGACTTGACCCGACTCCGGGTCGGGTTGATTTCGATCACAAGTTCGATTTGAGACTCAATACCTGCATTGACCTGCACAGTGTCATGGCGGAAGAGTTGTCTTCTATAACCTTAATAATAATACCTCAGAAATAATCAGAAGTTATTTATCTTACCTACTTTAAATTATATATATCATTTATCGACTCGCACAATTTTCGTAAGATAAACAATTTCTGATTATTTCTGAAGTATTATTATTGAGGTTATAGAAGACAATGGTCCGTATTCAGAACGCACTTTTATCGATAAAAGCGCGCTTTTATCTCTGAAATTCTATAGGCCCGTATTCAGAACGCATTTTTATCGATAAAAGCGCGCTTTTATCTCTGAAATTCTATAGTATACGTGACGTAAACTGTTGCGGGGTAAGCTTATCATGCGTCGTTGCGTGGTGCGCACGCGCGCGCCAAGCGGTCCGCGCCGAGTTGCGGGGGCATTAGTCAGTCCTCCAGACCGAAGCGTGTAAAGCAGGCGCTTCTATAATAAAGTACGCAGTAATTATTAGCTGGAGCGTTTTCTTTGGTTTCGCCTTACATTTTCCATCCAATCCCTTGCTACAATAGGTTATGGGCCCAGATGACCGATAGGTTACACGAAAAATATTGACAATAAATGGAAATTGCGAGAAAGACGCGACGGACAGGAGCAAGCGTTAAAATTTGACAAAGATACAGTCGCTCAGCTGACGTGTTTCAGAGTAGTCGTATCTCTTTATATAGCGCAGTGTATACCGAGAAACGGAAATATATATTATTCCACGAGCAGATAATTGTAAGCGAATAGTGAAGTAGCGACCTATATGGGTAATAGTGCGACCATCGTAACTCACACGCGTTTGTAACCACAATTCGATTAATATACTGATTTTAAGTCTGATTTATAAATGATATATATTATTTGGACGACCTCTTCCATTCTTCCTTTCTTAAACTCGCGCTCTTTTATGAATATTAAACGCATTCTCGGGACAATAAAATCACTAAGCTAGATTCGCGGAGACGCTATTAGCGCTATTTGTTTCATTTTATCTTCGTCATCCATTAGACATGAGACAAGGACGTACCACACAAATGGCTCTAATAGCGCGCTGCCCGAATGCAGCCGAAGTCAACCCGACCCGGAGTCGGGTCGAGTCGGTTAATCGAAAACGCTATATGATTGTGATACATTAATACCTAATACATGTGAATCTAAATACAGTTATCAGAAAGAAATTAAACAACAATTTCGACGAATAATGGCGGACTTCATGTGTCCAGACTCTTATTAGAGGGTCATTAGCATAAAGCATGTGCATAAGGAATTTCATTGGCCCATTTTCTTATGCATGAGTCAATGGACCAAACATTATTATATTTTTTATATTATTAATACTGTATTTCATAAAATTATATTTTCTAAAATGACTGCATTGTTCTGCGCCAGACTGCAACCCCAGTGAACAATGGCTACGTTTACACCGTGCGCTTAGTCCGCGACCTATACGATAAGTGTCTTTGTTTAACCTACAGGATAAACAAGGACATCTATTGTTTAGGCCGCGGCCTAAATGCACGGTGTAAACGTAGCCAGTAAGTCGTCTTTAAGACGCCTAAAGCCGTAATTACACTAGCGATTGCCGATTGGATTGAGATTGCGATTGGCGATTGACGATTACTTTTCAACCAATCAAAGCAAAGCAGTAACCGATTGAGATTAGTGACTGCCGTTTAGACAATGCTCTATTTTATAATCGTCAATCGCAGT